TTTTTTTTTTTTTTTTTTTATATATATATATATGGGTACGGCCTCGAAACTGAAATCCTGAAAAATGGAACGAAAGTCTCACCGTGTAAGTGAGATCTTTTTCAGTCTGGCTTTTCGAGGCGTATGACGAGAAAATAATTCTTCATGCATGATAGCGACCGTGAATCGAGACTGTACCCGGTTTGAACCGTGCACACACCATTATATATTGTCTCTATTATATTTCTCACTCACTGTCACACGGCCAATGCTCTGGGTATGTCGTATGCTGGATGGATTAATTGATTGATTAATTAATTAATTAATTGAATATTTATTGACTTGGATTGGATTGATATACATGAATATATTATTATTACCTGTGTACATAATGTTCAAGTTAATTGTTTCACTCGAATTATTGATTGAGACCTGTTCACTTGTTTACGTATTCGTACATATTGCTCTGTAACTACTATCTCTTTTTCTCTCTGTCACACTCTCTGTCTCTCTATCTCTCTCCGTACGATACTACCTAACTTACTTATACATATATATATATATATATATCTATATATATAGTGTACACAGTATACATANTCATTCAATTTTTACATGAGTAGAGTCATTGTTACTGGTATGCAAAACTCTAGAATCTTTTCTGCGTGAGATTCAGTGCGACAGTGCGACGGTTGATTGCGACCTGCACCGTCATCCGTGTTCCAATCGCCCTGGACTTTTCCAAATTTCATTGAAGTAATCAAAGTCGTCGGTTAAATGAGAAATGAAATGAACAATTGCCCCCATCTCTCGTTTGTACCTTCTCGTTAAAACAAATTCTGCATCCATAAAAATATACTACTTAAGAAAATTATGGTATCACGAAAATGTTGAAAATTATCTATATTTGAAAGATGATTACTCAGCAACGAATTAAGAATTAAAAGTTTCCAGTTTTAATTTAAAAGAAAAATCATATTATGATAATTTGTTGTTGAATAATCGCCAAACTTGGATAATTTTCGATACAAATTTCGTGATGCCATGATTTTTCTTCACAGTGAATAAAATGTTGAAACAAACGAGAGTCTCGTAGACGATAAAGCAAATCCGTGAAACGATGAATTGGAGCAAACCGTGAATGCGTCTGAACGCAAGAAAACGGGGTGAATGGATCACGCGCGGGTCGGCGACGTTGATCGGTGGGTGTGTTGTATTTCCAGGCGCAGCTAGCCGGACCCCGCACTGGTATACAAAAGTTCTCACAGTATTATCCGAGTTCGATGCTGCCGCCGCCGCCGCCGGCGCCCATGGCGAGGCCCGTCGCGATCATAAGGTCGACCGGGGAGCTGACGGCTGCGAGCTCGAACTCACCGCCGACATCGTCGACGTCGCCAACGGACCCGGCCGAGCTGGCGTCCAACCAGGAGCAGATGGCCGCCGCAGCGGCCGTCGGACTGGTCACCTCCGGTTGTCAGAGCTCCGTCGACCCCGCTGGAAGGAAGAGTCCCGCGAGGATCCTCGTCACGGCGCCGCACACCAGCCGGGAATACACCTTTGCTCACTTTCACTCTCAGCCAGGACAGGTAAGTTTCATTAAGGATGTATTGGCCATAAAGTCAATCCCAAAAGTTTATGCAGTTTAGAAACGCATTTTTTAAAAAGAAATCAGACGTCGGAAGAACATTGCTAGTAATAAACAACAAAAAAAAATTTTCGTCATCGTCAATACTTAATTGGATATTTCCTTCTATACTTTTTTAGCACTGTAATTTTAAAAACAATAATTATAACTAACAACGATAGGTTTTAATCGATAATTGTTCTTATCACGAATTTCATTTTGTTAACAGCAAATATTCACATACCCCACTATCAGCTCGATGTCGGGAGTGATCTCCCCGACGAATCTCTCCCTATTCTCTTCGCCGGTTTCGGTGACGAGGCCAGTGGCGACTCAGAGATCGGTCTCTAACGTGCCGCCCCGTTGGAACACCGCGCCGTTCATCAATCTTGAGGATGATTACAACATGATCGCGCCGATCATCACCGGAACCGCCAGCGAGCCGCCTTCCACCATGGATGAAGGTCAGTAGCATTTAATTTTTAGTCTCCAGACTTTTAAAGTGATTTTATTAAAAATCTGAAGTCAAACGAGAATTTCCTTCCTTATGACTCGCGTTATTTGATTTGGTAACGTTAACATAACATGAATATTTAACCGTATATGTATGTTCATTAAGGTTTGAAGAGTAACATACTACAATTTGATTACGATCAGCAATGTTTCGCATTTCAATAGAACCAGCTTAAATTTCGCTTTTGTAAAACTCGTTAACACGAAGATCGACCATCGTCTTACAGAACGATACTTTCACCCTGTTCACACGAGCAGCGTGGTGGACAAGAGCGGCGCTGGTAATCTAATGGGCACCGACCTGGGCGTAGGGACCGATCCAAACTCGCACCACCACCAACAGCAGCAGCAGCAGCAGCAACAGCAGCAGCAGCAGCAGCAGCAGCAAGCTCAACAGCCGCCCCAGCAGCAGCCACCGCCTCAACAGCAGCAGCAGCAACAGCAGCAGCAACAACAGCAGGTGATGCAGGACAAGAGCGGAAGACCGAAGTCCCCCCCGTGACACTGGAGGCTTAGACCGGAAAGCGTCGAGAAGCTCGCATGTTCCACGGGGTCGTTGCTCGCCGGCGTGTACGATAACTACCCGGAGCCGGAGGGGAATCGGCAGGATTCCCCGTGTCGTGTTCAGCTTCGCGACCTAAGCCTGCGGAGAATCGAGTGCCTGAGAGTCTGATCGTAGTTTAAGCGGGCCGTCGAGGGAAACCATCGTGACGCCTGCCCGTGGCGAACGGGGCCTCCTCCTCCCGTTTCGTCGTTACCGCGTTGGGAGGCGAGCCCGGGCATGGGCCCTCGATCCGCGAGACATACGAGGAGCTTCGATTAACCCTCTGCGGCACGGTGCTTTTCGTCGTTTACGAGTTACCGAGGTTTGCAATTATCCTTATATTTCATTTTATTTATTTCCGCGGTGCCTGTCACGAACGTTTCTACGGCCGATTTCATTTATATGAGTCTCTTTCCCTGTTCCAAGTTTGATTTCTTGATCAGAATTTTCTTTCGGAGATTTATCACGCGCTTCATCCCTCTTTTTTTAAGATAGTTGTACATCTAGACGATTCTCTGTCAGCGAGATCATAATTAGTCTTCTTTTTGCGAGGAACGAAAGGCATTTTCCGCCCCCAGGGGGTTAGCGTTTCGGTCAATTATTATACTTCCGCGCCATCGGGAGCGTCTTTCTCCTCTCTCGACGCGCTGTTCAATTTCCAACTCTTTCTCTCTCTCTTTCTCTCTTTCTCTTTGTAAAGTGTCCTCGACGGGCAGTAAACGAGTAAGGACCTCCTCATCTCGTTTCCTAATTAAAATTCATTGTCTCCGATCGTCGCCGATCGGTCCCGTCGATCGATGGAAATCCATAGACAATTTAACAATTAAAAAAAAAAAATACCAGAACAAAGAAAACGGAGAAGTAATCGAAACTATGGTAGAATATCGTTTTCTGCGCGGTTTTATATAATAACTACGATCGTCTATTTTCTATTCTATTTCCGCTTCGTGGCCCTTCCAGAACGTGTCGTTTTGTACATACACGCTCCCGTGGTATTTTGTAAAATTTTAGAGGATCTTAGAGAATATATAGTCTAAACCGACGAGAAAAACGAGAAATACTACCGATCGAACGAGTAAACGAAATTCGTTGCGCTCATCGAGGAAGGGTTCAATATGAAGACGATTAAAAAAAAAAAAGAAAAAAACTAATGAAGTTTCTAGTGCCAATTTCGAGTAGCTTATAAATATTATAACGAAATTATAATTTTCTATTATATTTTTTTATAATATTTATGAAGGAACACGTACACACACATAGACACACACACACACACACGTACACACATACGAGCACACATACGAGCACACGTGACACGCTTGTTTAGTCAAGCACGTGAACAGACGGAGGATAATTCGCGTAGACAAAAAGCTTCTTCTTGAGAGATGAACGTTTTTAAGAAGGCGATCATTCGGTGTAAAGAAGGGAGAAGGTCGAAGGGATCCGATCGACGAGAATCGATCGCAAACTGATGCTAACCGGTCCACGAACCACGGATGATAATATTAATTAAACGCTACTAACGGTAATTGGTAACTTCGTAATCGTATCGTTAATTAATCGCCTAACGCTCAGGCTAGTGCCGATACTAGTGATGAAGAGAACAAAACTTATATGGATGAAACACACGTACACATACACAGATATAAAAAAAAAAAAACGAGTACTAGAGAGAAAGACTAGTTTCGCGTGGACTAGTCACCAGAGGCTGCTAGTTAGAAACAAAGTGAATATTTAATATTGATTATTATATTGATACAAATTAAGCGGTTGAAAATGCAACGTTATTACATGATGAACGCGAGGACGAAGAAACGTTTGAGAAGATGCGGAGGAGGAGGAGGACGTTGAAAACAAATAGAAAAAGGAAACGAACAAAATGAGAGCGAGACTATTAAACGAATATGGAGGAACGAAACGAACACGGGGCGACGTTTCGAGATAGTGAGAGATCTATAGTTAATAATTATAACTATAACTTTAGGAATTTAGTGTAAACCGTCGCGCAACACGAGATATAATAATATGTAATAATATGTAACATCGAAACTCGACGACAACGAAGATCCTAAATACTATAATGTTGTATATTGTCCAAAAGTGCTTTCCGTCGACTGTACGTTAAACGAGGGTGTCTGACGATGCGAGGCGAGGAAATTTCTTTTCCGACTTCAGATTGTACTCGTTCGCCAGCAGAAAAGATCTCCCCTGATCATCGTTCATTTCGTAGATCGTAAAATGTTTGAAAATTCTCCTGCTTACGAGATTTGTACACCGCCGAGCATAGAGAGATCATTGATAGACGTTTCCTGTTACAATATTTTTTCTACGTCAGATATTCCCAGGTGTTATCGATTAAAATGTTTCTGATGGCGAAGCGGTTACAACCACGTGTTTGTATTGCAATTCCCGAGGAACCCCTTCGCTGCAAATGCGCTTTAATGTACTCGCGAGACGACCAGGTCCGAGGCGGTTCTTCCTGGGTTTGCGTAAACCGTTTCACTGGGAACCCGTTTTTCCGTTTTCTCTCATTCTCTCTTCGAGTGAGGTTGAAAGGGTGCGCGGCGTTGCCCATCATCGACGACTGGATCCAGCGATCATTGAACAGCCCATTCGGCCTTCTTATCGTTTAAATTACATTTCGTACATAATGTAGCCGCGCGTTAAAACTTAAGACGACGAGGAAGGTATATATGAGAAAACTGTCATTTCAGTCCGGTTTCTTTCGTTACAAAAGAAATAAGAAGACGGAAAATCGTTCAACAATAATCGAATTGTTCATTGCACACTCCTACCCCGATTGCGTTCGCTCGCTAGTCTGTGCCTTCTATCTAAAATTAACACCTCGTGGTCAACTAACAACGCAAAATTCAGGAGCCACCGCTTCTCCTCATCCCACTTCGCACTTGAATCAAAAACGAGACAAAAAGGGGTCCAGGATCGAGTCGGGATCGCGCGAGGCATGGGGAAAGTTAGGGCACCCTGTCAATCGGTTCGTAGTAATAGTACAAAGAACTTGAGACTAGCGATATATATATANGAGTTCAATACTTGAAATTATTATTACAGTATTTAAAATAAATGTACAGACAAGAATTAAATGAATTTTTGCCAATCTCTGATCTGATTTGTTTTGCTGGATTGAAAATTTTTTGCCAGAAGACTTTAATTTAGAAAATGATCTAGAGCTTCCACCGAAGGTGATTGAAAAGAGCGCGAGGGGTAGACAGGTGTGTAAGGAATTTTTATTACGTCGTTTTTATCCTCGACACGCCGATAGGGATTGTAACGAGGCGACGCGTTTATTTTGTTAAAACGAGGAGTTAAGCGCGTACACTCGATGTGTACGATTAATTAATGAAAAATGAAAATCAGGGTGGTTCGGGATATGTGCAATATACCGCGAACGCACTTGACACGGTGCCGGTGATTATTCAGTTCAATCGTATTCAACAATTGGAAGTTGTACGAGATTTCTAGAGACTAATAATCAAGAATCACGTATTTAATCGTCGTTGATAGAAGAAGAATTAATATCTGATACGAAATATTCTAAACAGTTCCTCTTTGCTATCTTTTTAAATGTAAGAAGGGGGTAGTCGTAGACGAAGAGTTCCCGGTTCCCTTTTTATAAAACCAGAAAGGACGGAGGAGATCCCTCGTGTGCATCCCTTAACGTTTGTAAAAATTCAAAGGGACTATTAGAGAATACGTGATTCGAGGATTATCAGCGTACGATTTCAAGGGTGCAATTAGATTAGAGTGCCAACTAGGGTAGAAGTTATTACTTAAAACGTAGCCTTAGGTCTTCCCAATGGGGTGAAAGGTCGCGGTTAGGTCGGCTTCTAGGATAAAAATTCGCAAGGAGAAATTTTTCTTAATTGTACAATCGAACTTCTTATTTGATTCAAATTGTCCAGTATAAATACTAAATGATTCATAGCCCAACTTTAGTCCCGAATTCAGTCATTTCAACGAAATTAAATTTTTCATTTCAACCATTGTTTCAAAAACAATTGAGAGAAATTTGTCCTGAACATTTCTGCTCAACGTCGAGCTCGCGTCGCGCCGATTTCTCTCGGGGCACCTACAAAGAAAAATTAAAAAAAAAAAAACATTTTCTATAGCGTCTCGAGCTGCCTTGAACCGAAAGTGCATTAAAAAAGCGTCCGCACGGTAGCCGGTCGAAGTTCACTTGCGGCTGGGATCAATTTTCTCGAAAGAAATTAAGAAAACAGTCCTACTAGACGAAATTTGTTAGAGACGTTAGTTAGATACTTTGACTGTTGTGATATTGACGAGGATAGCCACGTGATTATTATTACTTACAAGCTTAGGAATTAATTAGAGATTGCTTGGTATCACTGGAAGTTAGAATATTTGTTCTCCCTTTTACCTCGTTATTTCTTGAACTTGTAACCGGTTAAAGGGAAGGGAGGTTGGACAGACGGTGGAAGTGATCCACAGCCGCAACCGGAAGTTCCGCCCGGCGCGAAAGTGCGCGCGAGGACTTTTTCTACGTAAGATAGATATTTCTCTAGTAGAATTTTTTGGATGATGGAAAATGAGACGAGACGTAACGGCTTAATTACGCGAGGATCGCGCGTCTCGATCGGATTCGAGGGTGAAAAAAAACTCAACTGGATATCCCGGGCCACCCGCCACTCGGAAACGAATGAACGCGATTCGAGACGTCGTCGGTAAGCGTGCAATTAAGCGAATTAGTATCAAAATACCGATGAGATATACGTAGAATTTAAGCTTGCGAGGGACTGAAGACGTACTTATAATAATAATAATAATAATAATAATAATAATAATAATAATAATAATAAT